TTCTTAACCAACAAACCACTGGGCCGGCCCCATATTAGCTTTTTAAAAGCAATATAAAGTACTTTCTTACAGAAAATTTGGAAAATACAGAAAAATATGAACAAGAAATTTAAAATCACCTATTAATCTGCTATCCAGAAAGAACAATGATCAATATTTTGCTGCTTGCAGTATTTTGTGGATTTTTTTCTGAATCTAGTTGAAGCTAAATACTGTAAACTGTTTTATATATTTCATCTCACCCAGCTACTGGAATGTAACCATTTTCCTCTTAATTGTTTTTTTTTTTTAAATCTTCATAAACGACTTTTTAAATTTTTATTTTTACTAAAGTTTATTGGGTGACAATTGTTGCTAAAGTTACATAGGTTTCAGGCGTACAATTCTGTAATACATCATGTATATATCACATTGTGTGTTCACCACCCAGAGTCAGTTCTCCTTCCATCACCACATATTTGATCCACTTTACCCTCATCTACTAACCCCCTTTCCCCCTTACCACCTGGTAACCACTAAACTGTTGTCGGTGTCTATGAGGTTTTGTTTCTTCATTTGTTTGTCTTGTTCCTTTGTTGTTTTCAGTTTTATATCCCACATATCAGTGAAATCATATGGTTCTCGACTTCTTCGCTTAGCACAATAATCTCAAGAACCATCCATATTGTCACCATTGGTACTATGTTACCTTTTCTTATGGTAGAATAGTATTCCATTGTGTATATGTACCACATCTTCTTTATCCAATCATCTATCAAAGGACACTTTGGTGGTTTCCATGTCTTGGCCACCATAAATAAGATGTGGAGGTAAACATCGTACTAATAGCTTCATAATATTCCATCAGATGAATGTACTCTTAACTTATTTCATTATTTCCCTGTTGGTTAAGTTGTTTCCAGTGTTNCCCCCAGTTCCCCAATAAAAAATCTTAAAAAAAAAAAAAAAGCCCAGTCTGGCAGGGGAGAATATATAAAAAGTCAACATAATACAAACCTGTATGCAGACAGTACTTTGGGAGTACGGGTGTACGTGGGGGGGATCAGATACAGCTTCAGGAAGGAAATGACTAAACTTAGGAGGTATGCAGAATGGCCGTTTTCCCACAGTGACCTGTTTGTGAAGTTTGACAATGGGTTATGTTTTGGAGAGAAGGCAAGGAGGTATCTTCTTGCAGCAGTGCAGCAAGTTAGATAGGGAGGAATGATGATTTAGTCTTTGGAAAGATTTGTGGAAAATATATTTAATGTGATAAAAGTTAACTGAAACCAGTCAGATGTATTTTGATGAGAATCTAATATACTATAAGATGTTAGTCATAAGCTGTTGAAATGATTAGGTTGACTGGAAAATTATTAAATGTTCCTGATTGAGTTGATGTTTTTTGGGGAGAAATTAAGAGACATTTTTATATTCTCACGGCTCACTTCTCACTAAACATGATTTTTATCCTGAAGTCAATGTTTTGAATGTAAACTCATTGGTTGCCTAATTGGAATTGGGTTTTTCAAACATTTTTTTTCTCTCTGTTTTTGGTTAAGGACTATCATATCCCTTGGTGCCATTCCCTCACCCCTCTCCTCATAACCAAGATCTTTGCTTTTCATTTATTGTATTGAACTTTAATGTGTATTTTCTCTATTAAAAATATCGTTTAATGTTTAAAAGGAAAATCAAGGTAAAATATTTAGTTGGTTAAAAAAAAGACATGAGACTTGTCTCTCTTACCTTTACTAAAATTTTAACTTCTTTTTAATCTATATTCAGGCAAAAATATTTTTTTAATGTAAGAGTCGCTGAAATACTATCTCACTAATTAGGCCAAAAAATTATGTTTTTAGACAATGATA